ACCAATGCTGAGCCGTTCTTGCATATGTGATTCTATACTACAAGCCTGGGAAAGTATAACTGTAGATTTTCAGCCTATTCCAAGCGGTAGTTTTCGAGAAATGGCGCTTTTAGGACTGAAACTGAAAAGAAGAAAGCTGATTTCGACATTTCTCGAAAGTTACCGCTCGGAATAGACTGAAAATCTACAGTTATACTTACCCAGGCTTGTGCTATAGAAACACATATGCAAGAACGGTTCAGCATCGCTTTGAAAATATTACGAAAATCGTTTTCTCAGTTTCTAGTCAAGGAAAAAGTACAGCAACTGCACATATGGTAATCAGATATGGAAAGTATTGACGTGTGCGAGTGGGAGGCCCGTAGAAAATATTTGGACGAAGATATGATTTTTTTTCGATTTTTTGGGCATTTGGAAATCTTTAGATTTTGAGGAACTCTCCGTGGATCGAGCATGGCACAAAGACATGAGTGCCATCTTGTAGAGCTTGCTTTGCTCTATCCAACAGTACCCTTTACCCTTTGTTGGGTTGAGTCTAGTTGCTTTGTTAGACCAAGCAAATAAAAAACGACATTATTTTCTTGACAACGTGATATTTTCTTTTGCAGAAAACTGCAACAAAGAAAAAACCACCAATGTTTGAGCCACTATTATTCGATATATTGAATAGTCGAATATTTGGACTGGCATGGTTATTCGAGTATTCAAATAGTCGAATATTCGATCATATTTAATCATTCGATTATTCGAATAGTCGATTCGATAATTCGACCAACCCCATTTATTCATATCTTCATTTAAATTCTAAAATGTAACATTGTTCGAATATTCGAATTCGAATAATCTGAAAACCACAGATCGAATAATATTCGTTCGTTCGAATATTTTTCAGAAACCGATCATTCAATATTCGTTCTTTCGACGAAATTTTTCGGTCGTTTCAACTGTAACTAGCACCTCCCCTAACAACCATGTCTATTGGCATGAACGTACAAAAATAAACAACACAGATATTTATTCAATCAGTAACTGCAGCTACGTAGTAGCGCATAGTTTGTGCTTCTTTTTGAAAAGAAGCCACAACAAGTAAAAAGCAGAGATGTGGAGTATTCAGTCAGCTTAATCTTCCCGATTTGACATCTTTTTTCAGCATCTTCGGTGCGTGCATTTTTGATGACACACTGGATGATTAATGAATGTACAGCGAGGAGGACGCCCGTGGCATTTCTAAATAATTGATGTGAAAAACGCCGCGAGAAGACATCTTCTAAATCTTCGCAATTTACAGTTGAGCCTGCCTCAAGAATCTATCGAGCTGACATTTACGACTGATTATGAAATTGGCATTTACCTTGACACGGTGATTCTTGCAGACTTTCGTACAATGTGGTTTACAATGTATCCTTCCCAGACTTACTCCAAGGATGGAAAAAAGCAGAAGACTTATCAGCAGAAAGTTCATTTTGCTGTGGGTTGTAGGAACCAATACTGATATGCGCAAGCTCCCCTCACTTATATACTGCATCTTTGTAATCAACACACTGTACGAGCAAGTTCCGCTATGTCTCATTATGTTTCGGTCATGAAATCTTTGATACTTAAAACGTCACATGCTGGTTCTATCATCAGTAAGAAAGAAGAGTGAAAATAGATTTGGAATCAGAAGAATCTCCTAGTAGTCTCTTTAGGGCGGATCTTGACGAAAACTACGCACAAAAAAAGCAAAAAATCGGCTGCTGTAGGATGCACAGCTTACATACTGTTTAACAAACAAGATTGAGCATAGTTTCTCTAAAAAAAGAGTAATTTCAGCAGAAAATTCCGAAATTTTCGTGTGGCAATGAACTTATTTTGATTAGTGTAGATAGTAAAAGCTGCTTCTTCGAAAAAGCAATCAGTAACTGGTCAACTGAGCTAAAAACGATGATATGGACAAGATCATTTGTGACATAATAGTTTGTCGTAGCATTTGTGTCTTTTCTATAAGATTTTCACGCTTTTCACAGCTTTCGAGTCGATGTTCCTCTTTCATTTTCGATCAGCAACTTATTATAGTTTCATCATCTATCGTAAACGTATCACCTCGAGTTCATTCGTCACAAGTTCAGGTTTCTAATGTTGAGTTTTTGTGCTGGCCTGACGTTACCAAACGAGGCTGTTTAGGAATTGTTAACGCTGCCTATGACGCTAAGGACTGGTCGAAGTAACGCGATATTTGCCAAAGTGAGTTCAAAGGCAGTGTACGGGCAGAAACTCGATTTCCAGAAAATCCACTTATTTGGGGTTATGCGCAACGCTAGGGTCGAAAATCTAAATTAGAAGCGCGAAAACGGCGAAAACATGCGTTTCCAAAAGCTTTAAAATTTGAAATTGGACAGTTCCCGCTTCAAGGCTGAGACGCAGAGTTACTGCGGAATTCTACAACTCAACTGCGGTGGCATCGGTACTCACGCCGCGTTCATATGATTTGGATGTCCTGGAGCAGTTGCAGCACAGTTCTCGCAGTGTACCAGAACTGTCTTTGCATGCGCTGCAGCCGCTCGCATGCAATTTTGAGTGGCGTGACTCGGAAAATTTTGGCTGTTTTCGGGGTTCAGGTTTTTTTCCAGATTATCTCATTTTGGGCTTATTTTTCTACCCCCGCTTCCATTTTTGATTGGCAGGCAGGGCTCGGCACGAGTTGGCACCAGGAAATTTTCAAAACGAAGTCCCCCTTGAAATTTGCTAATTTTTACAAAGTCATCTTTGACCCCCAAAATCCCTGAAAATCCTTCAAAAAGCGAAACCGACTAAAAAAAAGTCGCAATTTGTCCGCAATTTATGACAAAAAACGATATCCCCTTTGCTTTTTGACCCAAAAAACGATATCCACCTTGCCCGTGCCAGCTGGTGCCAGCCCCTGTTAGCAGGACTTCAAACTTGAAGCGGGGTTTAAAGGCAGTGGATCGGCAAAAACTTGGCAACCCAGGATCTTAACGCAGTAGGTTCCTTATCGCCCAAGTATGAAAACAGTGCAATCCCGGTTGCACAGCACTGATTTCCCTGTCGAGAAAATCGCTCTCAAATTTGTACGCGCAAGCCAATCCTACACGCACTCGGACGAGTTGGCAACTTCCTTCTCACCATTGGAGGCTGCCCGCCGCAATGCTATGATTGGATCCCGACCATAGGTGCGATAGGGGGAGGAGGGTCCCCTCCAGGTGAAGGGGGTTTTGGCTATTCTGACCCAGAAAATTGAAGGGGGTAACTGAGCATTAAGAATGCTAACGCAAGCTTACATGCCTAATGGGAATGAAAAGAAGGAAAATAAGTAGTACAGAGGTGCAATATGAAGAGTACTCTGCGTTGATACCACTGCTTC